GGGCGAAGCCATTGATGAAAACACCCATGCCGACTTTCTGTCTTAATTATCATATCTCTATCTATAAAAAATTATCTTTTATATTTCTTTTTGTATCTTGTTTTCATTAATTATATTTTTAGTACTATTTGCTAAACAAGATACAAAATGATTGAATAATTATCTTATATATATTTTTATCTTAAGAAGAAACTTAGGCTAGGGAGTAACAAAATAAAATAGGATAAACTCTAATCTATTTTCTCTATATATATCATGTGATATATTACAATACATACATAATAGAAAAATACATAATTAATATACATATATACTATTAAATATTAATTTATAAAGAATATAACAACATATATAATATTTCTAAGCTTCTAGTCAGAGAAATTACCATGATTCAAGTTTTTCAAGAATTCCAGAGTGAAACTAGGGGGAGAATTCCCTTTTCCTTCTCCATTCTTTCTTCTTCATTTCACTAAGAACCTTTATTTTCTATCATTTTTTGAACTGATTCTAGTTAGAGAAAGTGAAGATCCGAGCTTCTAAGGTTGAAGCTTAAGTGGTCAAAGTACAAAGTCATCTTCTTTTTCTTCTCTTTGTGGATTTTTTCTGAGAGGTAAGGGAAGCTTGTGCTCAAAATTCTGCTGGATTGCATGAAGATGGTGACAAATTGAATACGTTGATCATTAGTTGCGTGGGATTGAATTTTAAATTGATGAATGTTGAAAGTTGAGATTGGGAAGACATGGTGCATGAAGTGTAGTTCATGATTATTGTACATCGTTGTTTGCATGTGTTTTCATGAGTTGTTTTTAAGTTGTATAGGTTGTATATTCATGGAGTATGTGCTTGCATGTTGGAAATTTTGTTGATTTTTAGATAGATTGGACAAAATCGGGTTCTATAAAAGTGCAAAACCAAATATCACATTAAGTACGCCTTTATGGCGTCAGACGTAGTTCCAAAGAGAGGTATTTGTCTCACTCACGTTTGATGTAGAATCGATGACATCAAGCATGAGGAGGGAGACTCATTTCAAGTTGGAATTATGTCGAGCGTGATTTAAATGGTGTCGAGTGTGAGAAGCTGATCTTTGTCTGGATTCACATCAAACGCTAGTGGAGTAATGCTTGGCGAGAGTCAGGAAAAGAGTTATCTGCATTAATGGGGTTGGTTGTGGGTGTCACTACGCCAAGCACGAGACTAGGAGGCACTCTCTACATTAATCATGTCAAACACGAATGGTCCAACGTTAGACGTGGACGAGACAAGGAGTTCCTTGCCTTAGTGGCACCAGGCACCCAATGAGTGGTGTTGATTGCAAGTTATATGATGAAAAGTTGTTATATAATGTTGCTTTACAATTGATTGATGGTAAATGAGTTTTATGATGCAAAGTTGATTGTTTAAGTTGTTTAACAACTTATTTATGATGACGTAATTGTATGAATGATGATGTTAGAGGATTTATGTGTTGGTATATAGTAAGTTGAGAATGTTGTGAAGTTGTGAGTTATTTTATGTTGTTTAAGTTAATTTATGTTGTTGTTCTATCAAGTTGTTCATGTTGTAAAGTTGTATGATGTTCAGGTTGTTTCAAGCCGATATGTTGTGAAGCTCAAAGTTGAGTGTTGTATGAGTTGCATGTTGTTATAATTGATAAAGTTGTTACGTTGTTAAGTTATAGGCATGTAGGTTAGATACATGTCTTAGTTATGATACACAAATATTATAGGGGAGTATGTTGTTTTTGAAATTAGGATATCCCATTGTACATGTATACGTTGATGTGCTCTAAGAGTCTGAAACTCTTTAGTAGGTAAGTTGATCTCTGAATGGATGTTATTTTTTAATTATTGTTCCAAAAAGTATTTTCCAAAAATATGTGAAAACACAATTCTAAAAAATACTTTTTGAAACACTAATTTCACTATTATAGAAAGTACTTCAAAATAGTGAAACTAGTGTTCCAGAATGTATTTTTCGTAATATTAAATTTAACATTAAGGTTTTCAAAAGTATAAAGGGGATGACGTATTGGAAGAAAAAATATGCATCTAACTTGACAGAAACGGTTAAAGAAGTCGTACGTGCATACAATACCATCGTGCACCATTTTTACTACCTGGGTATATGTAAAAAAGTAGAAGAGGTGAGGGGAAAGAGAGTAATATGAAAATAGATTTACAACTACTGAAATAAGTAGAAAATGAAAAAATAAAAACAGGTGCATGTGAAAATTAAAAGAGAATGAATAAAATGTATAAAAAAAGAAGAAGAAAAAAGTGGTAAATTGAAAGTTGAAAATGTAAAATTAAAAAATAAAAAAAGATTATAAATATTTTAAGATTTAAAAAAATAAGAGACATATATTTATATAAAAAAAAAGTGAATATATCATAAGCCTGAACTCATTATAAAGTATGAACCCAATCAGATTAAATATGTTACGCGGCCCAATTAGATTAAATATGTTACGCGGTCCATTTGTAAATTAGGGTTCATTTTGAAACTGCACATGTCTCTCACTTATGATTTTGTTTCACATAAAAATCCTAACAACATATTTTTAAAATATACTTCATTTTCACTGAAATATGTTTAAATATTTATATATAAATATGATTTTAATTAGTTTTAGTGTTTTAAAATATCGATTTAACGATCATATAGGTTTATATATATATATATAATATTATATTTGAGCAATCTCATGCTCTTTTGAGTAAGTTGCTTTTAGGAATTCTTTTAGGAGTTTCTACTCTCATATTATATCTGTGTACTTTATTTTTAAGCTTTTTGTCCCGTTGAACACAAATTAAAAATTTATATTAGTAATTTATCAAAAATTATTGATACAGTATTTTTAAGATAATTATTAAATTTTTTAAAAAAATATCATGTATCTCATTTTGTGATTTCAGTGTCAGTATAAACTCTTTTGTAATGAGAATATATATACTTTTTATTGTTAAAATTCCTTGTTTAAACATAATATTTTTTTAAATTCTTTTTTCAATACCGTGGATCTAGTCATATCGTATTAAAATAAGCAGTCAAAAAGATAAGCAGTTAAAAAATAAGCAGTTAAAAAAAAAGCACTCAAAATTCAAAAAAGAACATGCGGTGTGTTACAACTAAATTCACGATATGTTATCATAAAAACTAATTTTAAAATTTATGAAAAATCAAAATAAAAAAATCATGAAGAATTAAAAACACGTTAAATCTGTACTTACGTCAATTCGAAAACAATTTTTTCATTTGTTTGTTTTAAAGTGAGCATTAACATTTCAGAAAATATTAGTTCACGATAAGAAAAAACGCTTTAAAAAATATCAATAATCTTCTAATTTGGCTAGAACTATTACGTTTATATATACTAGCAGGAAAAAGATATTTTGTATCTGAATTGTATTAAAAAAATAAATAATAAAAAAAAATGAGAAGTTACTCATAAAAAAATAATTATTGTAAAATAAACAAAGGATAAAATAATTCATGTAAAAATGGAAACTAAAAGTAAATTATTTAAAAAGAGTAAATTATTGTTTTGTTAGCTAGAACTATTTTTTTTACACCAACAATTCTTTACATTAAAATATTATTTTAAATATAATAAAAAAATTATTATACTTATTCTCTATAACTATTAAAATTATATTTGTAGGTAATTTTAATCTTTACATTAACACTAAACTTTTTGATAGCAATAAATTTGTTTATGTCTTTAATTAGCTATATATTCACGTTTAAACATCGGTATTCAGCAACAACAAAAAAATGTTGGTATTGATTAATTAGAACTAATTAGTTTCTCTAATAAATAATTAATGGCAGCAGATGATTTACATAAAACTTCTTTTAATCTTATTTAAAGGAACTTAATTACATCTGAGACGAAAAATATTGCATGAAAATAATTTCACCATTAAAAAAAGGTCAAAACATGAACTAACTTGCATTTGAAATTTATCACTACTGAAAATCAACTGACAAGTCACAACACTACACTATCTCTTACATAAAAAGACCATTCAAATCCTTTGACTAAGGAACGTTCAATTCTATATGTAAATAATAACATATTTGGAAGAGGTTGAACATAATTTACATAATTAAAAAAAAAAAAAATTCTAGAACATATTTCAACTCACCAAAATTCTTTTAGGTTAAGCATTTCCGAATAATTTTGTATGAATTACGATCATATTCCTAATTAGCAAAATTAGCTGCACTGGAATGCATCATGATAATTGTTTCACATATATTTTTCCTTCACCAATATAATAATCGACCATTTAATCCACAAACTAATGCAGAAGAAAAGCAAAAGCACTCTGGAATTTGTTTATGATCGCACCTCTTGAGCATGTTTTGCTCAAGTTTGAAAATGTAAACATATTTAAAGGCCATGCATGAATAACAATCTTGCTAGTCATAGACGACTAATGGATTCTTGTTCCATATTTGTCCACACACAATAACAAAAAACAAGTCAATATCAATGCACTATATCATTAAGTGTAGGAAAAGCAGAAGAGTATATGCTACTTTGCTGAACATGCCGGCTCCACGTACGTCAACAGTACCAAACAGCACATAAATTAAGTGCCTATGGGACCTTGGTATTGACTTCAGGACAAGGATCCAAACACTAACTTAAATCAGACATGTGGACACAACCAAAGCAGCCTCCATTAAACTAATTAATAACACAATTCTAGAATGAGAAAATCCGAGAATTCATTGTTAATTTTCTCCATGCATATTAATTGTATAGTTTCATCTAGAAGCCCTTTGAATAAGAAATATTATAAGATCCCTTTTAGCCTTTTGCGCCTGCTCTTCTAGATGATTTAATTATCAAAAGGGTTAAATCTGAGTACCTTGTTATTTAATTATTCCTTTAATTCATCTGGATGGTATCGACTATATCAATTATAAACCTCTTCTAGATGATTAATCTCTTCCATATATATTGAATAGATCAAGACACCCCATAAGCAGCAAAAACAAAACCTCAAGAAATAATAATATTCTTCACATCTTTGTGTTCATTTGTTTCTATCTTCACTCATGTCGGCTAAGGAATTTCACGTATACCATGAAGCAGGAAACGTAGAAAGCACTCTACTACATGCAGATCCAAACGATTACGAGGAAGAAGAAACCCTATCTCTCTGTGACCTTCCAATTTACAATGGCTCAGTTTCAGCTAGATGGGGTGGTGAAGACTTCTCCAAAGAAGGCAAAAACTCATCTGATAGTGGTGAGGACAACGACAACGACAACGAATTATTCGAGTTCTTCAGTGAGGAATTCACCACGTCAAGCAACAATATTAATACAACCGCAGATAACATAATCTTCTGCGGAAAACTCATTCCCTTCAAGGACATTAATCCTCCACGTAATGAAAGCAACAATGTTCAAAAGGGTATCCCTATTCTTCCGTGGAGGCCAATGAACAAAGCAAAACACGGTTGGAAGAAGGAAGAGTTGTTAGAGGGAAAGGGTTCGAAGAGTTTTGCTTGTGACTACACGTCCACTGGGAAGGTTTCTTTGATGAGGAGCACAACTAAGTCTAGGTGGTTCTTGTTCATGTTTGGATCGATGTCCAAGTTGTCAAGCACTGAGATGGAGCTGAGAGACATAAGGAACAGGCAAGGCCGGAGGAGGGGTCCGGCGACGATGTTTCCGGCGCCGGAGGATGGAAAGGAGGTGGCTATGAAGGGGAAGGGAAGCTGTAAAGGGATGTGGAAGTTGTTGAAGTCAATCTCCTTTGTGTTAGGCTGCCGCTCTAGTAAGATTGCAAATGATGTTGTAAAGGCTGCTTTTGTGTGAATTTTTGAACAAAGCATGTGCCTCTACAACAATCATCTACTCCAATTTGACCCTCCTTTCTGTCATGTTTGGGCAAAAATACATTAATAGGAGAAATTATTATCTCAATGATATCAATTAATTTCTATATGACATGTATTCTTTAAGTTTTTTTAATTTATGAAAAATTAATAAAACTTATTATATGTCATGCAGAGATTAATTAGAGAGTATCTAATACTTTTTTCACTATTGAGATAAATACATAGAGAAGAGGAGAGAAGTGTAAGAATGATATATAGGTGATATAATGATGTTATAGAAAAAAATATTGATGTATTAATTAGGTGTTTGAAGTAATGAAGTATTTTGTATCATGATTGGAACTTTAATCATGAATATTGCTCATCAAATGTAGATGGCTTAAGGCTGAGGGGCAAACATGTATCAATTGAGGGGTCAAAACTTAAGGTTTGACTTGTCAGCCAAGTTTCAAGATACAATCAATGTTGAACGTTGTCTTGTTTAAAATGTATGATATTATAATCTACGTTCATTGGGTATACTTGAACTATTTAAATTGTATTGGTAGAATGTAGTCTAAAGATTATAGAAACAGATATGCCTTCTAATTAATAGTAATGTGTTAATACTCAATAACATGGCCTGAAACTTTGGTTACAACCAAATATTTTTTCTGGTGTTTGTCATACTCTCAAGAGATATTAATTTGTGTTCCATAAAGATACTCCTTTTGATAATGGAAAAGAATATGAAATATTTTATTTTGAAGGATGCTTCCTTATTTTTAGACCTGCTTTGGAATAAGTTTTTTCCTTCTTTTCCTTGCTATCCTTTTGGTGCTGTGGTGATGATTTCTTTAGATCAATCTCTCTTAAATATGAAGAGGGAGTTGCACAATAATGTGGACTTAACCTATTTTGCTAGTTTTTTTTTCTCTGTCATTTATTTGTATTTTACTTAGTTATGGAGGATACCTCATCTATTTCTTTTTTGTACCCTCTGTTTTTCTCTGTAATAATTCTTTTACTATATATTTATAAAAAAAATCTTGCATGCTAAATAATGCCCCATGGCCAACAGATGGCAACGGTATTAGTTGAATGCTAAAGTTATATGGAAAAGCAAGTGTCCTAAATCTAAATGTCTTCATTAAGGTTGGAAAATCGATAATTTTTCTTTCCTCAAGAAATATCTTTTCTAGCTGTTGTTATAGCATCATTTATCAATTCTTACTATAATGTGCTAAAAGCATCCATAACATCACTGTATCTGTTCCATTTTTCCTTCAATAATCATCTGAAACAGCAATTAATTTTCGGGTTGGGAGAATATGTTTTAGTGTTTATTAAAGCATTAGAAGTTGATCTGACAACTGATGGAGAAAATTTCCAAAAATTCCATGTTTTATTTTGATTCTTTTTTTAAGTATTTGTCACAATTTGTATTTATAATTTGTTTTGCTACCATGTGCTCATTGTTTGCATAAATGACAAGTTTGTCAAATATTTGTAATCTGTAATACTTTGATGTGGAGGTAAACAATTTTCAAATGGATTCATAAAGCTCTTTCGCCAATGGTGACTTTGATTTCGCGTCCTCTATGCCATTTTTTAAAAAAAATTTATAATAGATATCATAATATGGTGTCAAAGGATTCTACTTGCACCTTCTCTGCAACATTCTTCTTTTGGTTTTCTCTTCAAACTTCAATCCTAACTTGCTAATGGGTTTCACCATTCAAAATCCTCTTCTCAATCCTTCCTGTTGCTATGGAACAAAAAGGCATGGATAATCCCTTAAGTATCACTTCTCAATCCGTCAATGGTTAATTTGAATGTTAATTATAATAAATATTTTATTCAAAGATCCAATAATAGACTTTTAAATTTTGATTTTTGAAATAATGGATTTTTAAATCTAATTTGAGCTATGTTGGCTAAAAAAAATTTATATTTAAAAAATTTCAAAAAATATTTCAATCAATAAAAAGTTATTTTACTTCACTAGTAATTTATATATGTACATTATGTCAAATATTAATGAAAGAGATTTGAGTTTTATTAATGATTTTTTTATCACTAAAAAATTACAATTATGCAAAAGAGACGTTAATAATCCCATTTATTTGAATAAATAATTAAAAGAGACAAAATATTGATTATATTTAATATAAAAGTCTAGAAAAAAATATGTGCCACAAAAAGAAAATAAGGGTAGAATATTTTTTTATTATGATTTTTTTTGTATTTGATTTAAAAATTATGAGATGAGATAAACAAATTATATGAGTAATATGGATGATATGTTAAATATTTTGAGTGAATATTTTAAAATATTAGTATTTTATTTGATTAAATATAATAAATTAATTTAATGACTTATTGAAATTGTTTTACTTTTGACTTGATCTTTCTAATTTGGTTTTGCTGACCTTTTTTTTTATTTTAATATTTAATCAATCAACTGTCTTCTTTATTAAAAACTAACGTAAAAAAAAAATCATAAAAAAAACTAACGTAAAAAATATATTTCGTACTTCTGTACATTTATAAAAAATAAAATAAATGTAAAGGTTAATAATTAGATGGTGATCAATAGTAATTGTAAGGATAATTTTTTTAACAATTTTAAAAATTAAAATAAAAAATAAGAACTAAATAAAAAATAATAAAAAGAAAAGAATAATTTAAGAGATAGCTATAAGAAAAAAAATTCTAAAAAGTGAGTACGTAAAAAAAAAATCCCCTTTATTATAGAATTTATAGTACATATATAATATCTCATAAGGTTTTTGTACAACTCTCTCCTTACATATATTCTTTTTGTTTTTATCTTTTTGTGAGGGATGCCGAGTCTTTTTATTAAATTTTTTTTATTAGTTTTGCTGTCCAATTTATTATTGGATAAAATCATGTTATATTTGAAAGACTTACTCCTCAGATGAATAAATCATTGAACACATTACTATCACATGTCTAATTATTTATTTTCTTATTAGACAAACGGTTTGTGATTTTTAATCATGTTGATTTGTGAGTTTGCATGTCATCGAAGTTTAGTGAAGCTTAATAAGTACAACATAATAAATTTTTTAATTTTAATATAATATTTATTTGTCACCTATAGATAGTCAGGAATATACTTGTAAGCAAGGGTGGACCGACCGCTATGGTTGGGATTGTTGTCATGTCACCAATGCTTCATATGCCTGATGCAACTATTGCTTCACTTTGTAGATGAAAAGATTTAACTGCTTTAGTTGGATTTGTGAATCATTTCTAATCAAATATATAAGATACGTTGTAGAAAAAAAGAGACTTTTAGATATACTTATAATGTGTTTTTTATATATACATCAACATATATTTAAGTTATTAGCCAACTTTTTATTTTATATATTATTAAATAAATAAAATAATATTAAATTTATTATAATATTTTTAATATTAATTATCATAATAAGGTATTATTATTGTTTTAATGGGTAATAATGATAAATTGTTATCGTAATAAATTATTATGATAATAATAATTATTATATTAAAAATAGAATTAGCTGGTATTGGTATAACATGAAAAATGAATGTTTTTATACTTTAACAAAAGATTTCCTAAGTATGAAAAGGTGAAATTTTGACATGTCTTTGTTGATATTTTTGTTTTGTCTTATAAATATTTTTAAATCAAATACAAAATATATATTTTTGGCTTCATATAGTCGCATATAGAAATTCAACTGACTTTCATGTAATAGAAAAAAATAATTATTTTCATAATGTTTTATTTTATCTAATATATGGCGACCAAATTATTATTGAATATGATAATATGGGTGAAGTAAGTAAGCGTTTATAATTGAGAAAAGTAGGAATACATAGGAGTATTACATAAAAGGAAGGTGAATTGAATTTAACTTTGAAAAAGTAAAAGCGAAATGGAAGACCATGAAAAAGTGAAAAAAGACAGCGAAAAGAGTTTGTTATTTGGTTGCATAGTTGGTTTTTTGTTTGGGTACGCTGTTATTTATGAACGTTAAAATTAGGAATGACATTCCGTATAGGGCCCCACTTATCCTGACACCCAATCCTTGCTGTAATAGATTCATTCATCGTTGAAGTTTTCTCCTTTCCTCCTTTTGTCCTTATTTTCTCTTCACAGGGTATGTATGTACCTTAATTTCTTTCCAGACACATTTCTGATTCTCATGCTAAGGTTTTTGTTGTGTCAAAAACTTCATTTTTTGTCCTCTTTCTCATGCTTTTTGTCCCTTTTCTCATTACCCTATCTCCTTTTGATGGTTTTTTGAATTATGCTCTCTCTGTTCTTCTATTGTCGGTCCATTGCATTACTAGGCATTCAAAATTGGTGCTTTTGACCTTGTTTTTCAACTTTTCATGGCTTTTTGAATCATGTTTTTATGTTTTGGCTTCTTCCTCGTTTGATCATTCCATTGCATTAATGAATCGGATGAAAGTCTTTGTCTTTTCTATTTAGTTTCGGTTTCTAGTCCTTTTCATTAATGGGGTTGTGAATGCCTTTTATTGAATGCATCTGTTATACATTTTCTTTCAACATTTATGATCTCCATTTTGAGGTTGTATTGAAATTTCCGTGGCTCTTTCCTTTTACAACTCCATGCATGAAATCAAGTTCTGTTTTCTTCAACGTGCATTAAATTGGTTTAATTACTTCCACGGTTCCACCACAACTTTTATTCATCTATTCTCTTTTAGTTTCACCTCTTCTGAAGGAAGTTTGTTCATTTTACGTTTTTTGACCCTTTAATAATTTAGTTTCTTTTGTTTGTTAATGAAGATAAAGGAACTTCACATGGGGAGGAAAGGGTGGTTTTCTGCAGTGAAGAAAGTTTTCATTTCTGATTCTAAAAAGGAACAGGTTTGTGAATACCAATAACATGAATAGAAGATAGTTTACCTTGAAATCGGAGAAGATTCTCATGCAAAACTGATTATTTTTGTTCATATAAACAGAAACATCATCATCATAATAGGTCAAACTCAGGCTTAAACTCAAAGTTTGCATGTTTTGGGGTTCATCATCATGAGGATCTAGAAAATGCACCTGAAAGACGACCAATTGCCGTTGTTCCCTCACTTCCGCCAAGAAAAGAGATCAAAGTAAGAAGTGAGACAGAGAGGGAGAATGAACAGAGCAACCAAGCCTTTTCTCTGGTTTTGGCCACTGCTGTGGCTGCAGGGGCTGCTGTTGCTGCTGCTGCAGAGGTTGCTCGTCTCTCAAACACGCCTCGTGCCAATGGAAAAATGAATCGAGAAGCAGCAGCTATCAAAATTCAAACAGCATACCGTGGATATTTGGTATGGACTTTTATCCTATTTATTTGGAACAATTCAATGCTACACAATCAATTAATAACATGGAAAGTTCATGTTAGTTTCAAAATCAATTACAATAATAGAAATGTTGGTGACACTTATTCAAATACGATACTAATACTCTCTTTATATTATTGGTTAAAAATCACAAATTTTGATAAGTCTATTAGGTGAGATTCATTAAATGAGATATGGGATTTATAAAAATTTTGATTTTTACTAAATTTCAATCAATAATAATTAAGAAAATGTTAGAGAAATTATCATTAACATTCCTCTATCTGGGAACACTAATCTGAGAAGAAAATATGAATGTAAATGAAGTGACTTTTAGTTCAGTTTATGCAAACTTCTTATTTAAGTAAGAACTTATGAAAAAATTTATCCAAACAAATCTATAGTTTCTTTTGTTATGGGGAGAATTTTTATGTGTTGCAACATCTTTGAGTGAGTTTTGTGTGTAATAGTGCTTGTTATGGGGTTTTCAGGCAAGAAGATCCTTGCGTGGGTTGAGAGGTTTGGCGAGGTTGAGATCATTGGTGCAAGGGCAATCTGTTCAACGGCAAGCGGCTAGTACCTTACAAAGCATGCAAACTCTTTCACGGTTGCAGTCTCAGATTCGTGCGCGGAAGATCAAAATGTCTGAGGAGAATCAAACTCTTCAACGGCAATTGCAGCAGAAACGGGAGAAGGAGTATGACAAGTTGCAATCTACTGTAAGCACTTTATGAATATTTGCATATGATATGCAAATACAATAGACTATAAGATGAAAGAAATATTTACTTTATGTATGTTCACGATTTTCAATAATAGATATTTTGTACCAATATTACCCAAACATAAAAATGCAAATACAATAGGCATTGTGATCATAGAATGTGGCATTATAATAATGCTTCTGTATTATTTTTTGTGTCTATGTGTTTTCATTTTTTGTTCATTATATGTTCACACCTTTCGAAAATATAAATATTAGACCAAGTTATATTTTTAGTTCTTTTATTTTTATTTATCGACAATTTTGATTCATCTATTTTAAAATAAAAATATTTAATCTCTTATTTTTAAAAATATAGAAAGTTGATTTTATTGCTAATTTAATATTTATCAATCGTTAAATTTTAATATTGTATCAAATACTTTTGCAGCAAATTGGTGAAAAATGGGATGATAGCATAAAATCAAAGGAGGAAGTTGAAGCAAAATTGGTGCAGAGACAAATAGCAGCTATGAGAAGAGAGAAGGCTTTGGCTTATGCATCAACACATCAGGTATGAAAAGTCTGCCTATTATTTTGGATATTAGTAGTTTGCTAACATATGCTAGCTATTGTGATTCTTCTGCAATGCACTGTGGGCAATTATTAAATTTTCTAAAGCTTTTAGGCCAACGTGATACATTGATATGTTCCCAATCTAGATATGGATAGCATCTTGAAGTGTAACTAAACTCGTGTTCTACCAAGTCATCAATGTAGAATTTTGTTGCAAAATGAAATTTAGAAAACAAGCTGAAAATAAATGTGTAGTAGACCTGTATTCTATGCATGTTCATGCATTGTTGGTAGTTTTAAGATTTGTGGCAAACATAAATGATTTCCCAAGGATAACCAATCACTTCCTCCAACAGCAAACGTGGAAGAACTCTTCAAAATCTGCTGCAAATGCCACATTTATGGATCCAAACAATCCCCACTGGGGATGGAATTGGCTAGAGAGATGGATGGCTGCAAGGCCATGGGAGGGCCAAAACATTACATACCAAAATAGCCATGCATCTACCAAGGTTGCCTCAAGCAACAACATGTCAGTTGGTGAGATCACAAAGTTGTATTCTCTCCGTGATCAGAACCAAGATCTTAAAACCTCCCCAGCAAGCCAAAAACCAACCCGTCCTCCCAGCCACAATTCCCCTTCAACAACAGCTCCAAAGGCTCCACCATCCACCAATGGAACAAAGGCAAAGACACCATCAAGTCCAAAGGGTGGCTCATGGGGTGGTGATGGTGATTCACACAGCATGTTTAACAAGGTCTCAGAAAACAACCGTAGACACAGCATTGGTGTCTCTCCATTGAGAGATGATGAGAGCCATTCAAGCTCATCATGCCGCACAACACCATCATCATCCACAAAGATTGCAAAGCCAAAGCCATCATCCACCACCAAAGTGAGAAGTGCATCATTTGGTGTGCAAAGAAATGGAACAACACCTGAAAAACCAGCTTCTTCTGCTCCTCTCAAGAAGAGGCTTTCTTTCCCAGCTTCTTCTTCTATTTCAGCAGGCTCAAGAAGGCATTCTATTTCAACTAGGCCGGGAAATGTGGCTCCCAACAAGAATGTTGCTATTGCTACGATCCCCGAGGAGAAAGTGAAAGTGAAAAACGGAGGGAGCAGGTAGGGATGCAACATGCATCATGCATGCATGCCATTGGGTTGTGTGTGTACTTAGAATAGAATTATGAATGAAGATGAATCAAATAAAAGGTGGTGTCATTTTTCATAGTTGTATCTATCAACTTTTTCTTCGCAAGCCATCATATTCTTGGTGCCAAAGGGAGGAAGATAGAATAAAATTTGCTGATCAAGTAATCATTTAATTCCTACAGTTGTCTTCATAATCAATGCAGACAACTTTTTCTTTTACTTCTTAACTTATTGTAGTAGTGTTGTTTGTCATGTTACATAACAGATGGGTTTTGGGGGGTGATACTAGTTTCATGGCAATATATATTTTTCCATGTAAACTTGTACTTAATTCATTAAGTATTCTGTTTGTAAAGTATATATCAATTATTCAAGTTCTAGACCATGGTTCCTGGCTGTGAGTCTGTGTGACCAAGTTAGATCTATTCTCTTTTATGTTTTTGAGAAGCAGCGATTTGGAAAACTGAATAATGGATGTATTTATTTGCCACAGATCCATAAATTAAAAATACTATCTAGCTAGAGTCCTTAATTGGTGTTCATCTTATAAGAAACTTTAATTTTAAGCGTACATGAGTCTGGATGATAAAAATGCAAATACCTTAAATTGGTAAAAAAAAAAACTCGGTGTGCTCGGATCATAAAATTGGAAGTATATATAATTCATAATTATAATTTTACCTCCAAATTTGTTAAAATTTGAATTGATCAAGAAAAATAATTTTTCTGATCGAAAAAATAATAATAAAAAGTATATGTAGTGATTTAATTAAAAATGATATTTACATTAATTATTTTTTTATACCAAGAGAATCACATTCCTTTCCATTAAAATAATATTCTGAATACAATAAAAAAATATCATTATAAATATTCTCAAAATCAAATACTATAAAATTTGTAGTTAAGGAATGTGTGTTATCAAATTATTTTATATTATACAATATTAAAAAACTAGTATATTTATCTATATAATATGAGTTTTGATTTAATATGTATTTTAGTGGAGAGGTCTATCTACTTATTTTAAATGTAAGTTTTAATAAACTTATTTCATGAGAAATTTTATTCATCGATATATGATATAAAAACTTTTACATTAATATATAATATATATTTATGAACTCAATTTTTTTTTGTCTAATTAAGGATATCTCTAGTCTAATAATTAAAAACTAATTCTTTCATCAAGTGTAAAAATTACTGACGTGAGTTTTATTTCTCTAATAACACAAGAGAATCGACCCTCGAGAAACACAATTATCTATGATATGTGTTTGATCTCGTTGGTTTGAAAAAAAATCAAACTAGAAATTTGAAAATTTGAATTGAATTAAAATTTTACTGAAAGCATGATAATGAAGAGATATCAGTGGTGAGAATAATGGGATGATGTGAAGAATAGTGATAATGAGTGTGATTAGAAAATGTCGGTGGCAAAGTGACGACAATGGTGGTCAAAGGATACCAACGGTAGTGATGGAGGTTTGAGGACTTCAACGGTGATACTGAATCAACCATCAAAGGTCATACTATCATAGTGGTTAGACTTAGAGGCTCTTAACGACATCATGATATGATATATATCCTTATAATAATGATTGTTGGAGTGTGCCATGCCAACCATGATGTTTTCAGAATAAGAATATGAAAGTGACAATAATAATATACAATCTATTTACACTATCAATCAATAAAAATAAAACAATATATTTATTAATTGGATTCAATAATTTGTGATTGGAGTTTACACTCTCGATCGTTGACTTTTTATTATTATATGAAATTAGATGATTTATTTTACCCTGTAGAATAGGCAAAAGCCTATATATGTGGCTATGTATCATAAATAACAAGAAAAGAGGGTTTGCATGCACATCCTCATTCCAATACATATTATTAGTAATCATTATAAATAAATGTTAATTAATTTGTCTAATTTGTGAGATAGTGCAATCACTGTGGGAAGCAATGGCCAATTTTTTGAAGATCCCAAAGGTTGATGGTCGTTGAACTAGAAGATTCATGTCCACACGTGAGGAATTTGCCCGTGGTTTTTGTACCTGTCTGAAGGGCACACTAGTAATTTTCTCGTATTCTGAGGGCCGAACGAGAGCTCCGATAGAATATTCCAGTGAGGGAAGGGCACTTGCAAAAGACACTCTGACGCTCAAGTCAGGACAAACACAGATATCGATAGTAATTAATGAACAGTGACGTTACCTCGTGACATGAACTATTTATACTGACATTTATGGCCCTGAATGCCCTGGGCCCTATGACAGGATTACCATATTAGGTAATACGCCTCTAATCGGCTTATTAGTGTGATTAACTCTTAACTCTTGATTAGGAGTAATCCTTAACTCTTGATTAATGATATGTCTTCAGTGGCCGATCAGCCGTTGGCTACTTGGTTCGGCCATTCAGGTGCCGATTGGGTATCAGCCACCTGGTTTGACCGTTCGGGTGCCAATTGAGCCTCGGTCACTTGGTGGCCGAATGGCCTTACTAGTACAGTTTTCGTTATCTATTTCTCATGTTATATTTGTAAAACAAAAAAGATTATGTAAGAAATTGTATATGTGAGGCTAGATATTACCGAATATTTAGTATAATTTCAACAACTAAAATTGAATACAAAAAAATTTATACCCTAACGATCGAGTAATACTATACATATGTACATGTAATTAAATTCTGTAAGATTTTGACATTTGTATGATCTATGTAAGGATAGTAAGTGAAAATAACTTCCTTGTGAGATTCAAACTCATACCTCAAATTTACTACTTAATTGAATTCTTCGTTCTTGTTTTCTTTGATTTTGATATCAATTTCACCTCATCCCACTGAAAGACAAAGTAACTCCAAAGTTTAATTTTAAATATGGTCGGTCATTGAGAAATTGAATGCATTTTTGAACATTTGGGAGCTATTTTAAGTTAATATATAAAATTATTTATACTAACAATATATTAAAACTAAATGACTATATAAATGGTTGGTGTGAGTTATTTAACGGATTAAATACAGTAAAAAATACTTACATCCACATACATTTTTATAAGAAATGGTTGCTTTCAAATATAAAAGTCAAAGGAGACAAATTTCTTATTCTTTATTATGACTTTTATTATTTAGAGGTCTGTTTGATACATCTAAAGAGTTTTTCATTTTGGGAGCCACAGAGATTTCTTTGGGTAAGCCATATCTATTTCAAATGCCTGGACAACTTTAACAAATGTCTATTTAATGAATTTTATTACATTAATTTTCTTCTATTAAAGTAGGGATTGAATTTCTTTTGGGTTCCTTCATTTTATTTAATTTATTTAATTTGATTTTTATTATTAAAATATTTAATTTGATCCTATTAATTTTTAAAAATGAGGCAATGTGATTATTCTTGTTGAGTTGAGATTGTCAGTTTAAATTTTTGATGACAATGTAAATAATTTTTATATTGTCAATGCATAAACTATTTTCTCTAATTAGACATGCATGTATAATAATTTTTGAAAAATTGTATATTGAAAATAAAACTATTTTATTTATAAATAATATTTTGTATAACATAATATTATTTTTATAATGATATTATTTACTTCAAAATATATATTACAAAATATATTTTAATTTAAAATTATATACTTTTATTTTATAATTTAACTATAATATTAGTATTAACATATTATATTAAAGCATTAAATTGATCCAGTCTTGTCTCATATATCTTGAGTTATAATCAGACCAAATTAAATTTAAATAAATAATTTAATGAAAATTTCGTACCGAGTAAAAACAGAAATCACCTTATTTAACCCGTCTCTTACTCGCTGTTCCTATAATTTGTTCTAACACGCTGGAAATGGTTAAATGTTTTATCACTCGATCACATTAAAAATATTGGGCTAAATGAGTATCACTAATTCAATATAATAGTCATGAAAAAATAAAAAAAAAGACAGAGAAGAAGATTGCTAATCATCTTCAGCCACATAAAAAAGAAGAAGAAAAATTTGTGTAGGAAAAAAAAAAAACGTTTGATTTGATAGAATTGAGTATTTGTATTTGAAATTGAGAGAATTTGAAGATTTTCCACCCGTATATGCAACCAAAGCAAACCATAGAAACTGGTGTGGGTTTTAATGTGTGGTTAACTGCAGAAGAGAAAGCCTCCAAAAGAAATGTAGTAGTCCCATTCGTAACTTCAATATGTGATGACCATTGGCAAATACACAGCCACTTGGAATGATCATGGCCATTAAAAAACATTCTAAACTCAATGTCTAATTATTTGATGAATTTGTCCATGCAAGTTGTGCTTTTAAATAAGCATTTTGTGTATGTGTGTCTTTTGCTTTGTTGTTTTGCACTTGTTCACTCCTTGCATTTTCAGTTTGTTTTTTACTGAAAAAATAAGCTTGAGCGTTACCAAATCACTTCCAATGTTATTTTGATTAAACAAGTTATCTTAATCTAACAATAGCATAGCTTCGTCAGAAACAAGAAGGTTCTAACAACCCTTCCCTTCTGTCCCCAATCCTCACTCCTACAAGGCCTTGCGTCAGCTATTATCCATTCACCATCCTTTATCCAAACACAATAAAACCCTTTGAATATTTCAGCCCAAGAGGGTTACAATTACATCCTCTTTTTTTGGTAAAAAAAGGGATAGATATTTAATTAGGTAGATGACCATATGACATTCCTTTTTATTATCATTCTTTACCGAATAATATTTCTTATTATATTAACTACAAAATTTAGTATATCTTAATTGCAAATAAATAGCAAGAGAAGTATTACTCGCAAATTTATCACGATACACAATATAAAGAATATTATGAGACCACTCGGTGAACTTAATTGTAAGAAACTGATGCAGTATTCATCTACATAGTAAAAATGAAATTTGTATATGAATGAATTATTTTGTCTAATCAATTATAGAGATTATAATTACATAGATTGTAATAATGTTCGAACGTAAAATCTTACACTTGCTATACTTAATATGGTTCTGACATTAATATCATATTTCTTAAATAAAATTAATGTAATATTTGTAAAAAATAAAAGAAATATTATGCTAATATCAATATATATAATTTTATCGTCATTAAAATAATGAAGTTGACATAAAATAATTCATTTATAATTTTCTTCCGTTCAATGATTTTAATCTTCCTGAAGAAATCATAAAAGTAAATAAGCAGTCTCACTTCTCAGTTTGTATTCTGTGAATCTCTTTTTGCTTTTGGGACTGATTTTCTTCATCTTCTTCTTGCTCTGTCACCCATATCGGTTTCTAACTCCAAAGCCACCGCTTCATGCTCTTTGTCTCTTCTCAATCTTATCCAAATTATTGTCTTCAATTCTCTTCACTCTTTTTTTGTCTCTTCACCGCACCATATAAAAAACTATCGTTTTTTCAGCACCAAAATGGGTCTAATCTTTAACCGAAATGTGCAATCTTCATCGGTTCCGTGTTCTCTAAACTGAATTTTTTTTTCCATCTACGAGCTCAATTGGGTTATCCATTTCAATTCCGTCTTCGTAGCAGTCTGATATATTCTCCGTTGATTTTAGTTTTTCTGTTTTTTTTTTTTTGGTGCACTTGCACTTTCAATTTTGATTCTGATAAGGGGGTTGAAAAAGACTGCGACTTTTTCAAAGGGTTGATTAAAAATGGTGTCAGGGAGCGACCCAGTTGAGTCTTTTTTCAATTCCGTCCAGGTTGTGAAGGAATCGCTGTCGCCACTGGAAGTGGGTATACGCAAGGCGGCGAAGGATCTCGAGCATTGTTTGGCGAGGCCAAAGAACAAGGTCAATGGTGTTTGTTTGATTGCCCCAGTGATGGAAGGTGGTGAATTTCAGATCTGTGATGTAAAGAAGAAGAAGGGTTTATCAATGAAGGTTCCTTTTAAGGCTTTCTTGGGCATGTTTTCAGGGAATGGTGGTAGTGGTAACAATAGAGCTCAAGTGGGGAGGGAAGACGGGCCTTCTTGCACCAATTGTTTGAAGTTTGCGGTGACTTGGTCTTTGTTGGTTAATGGGTTCCTTCAGTCTCTGCCACTTCCCTTCAAATCTGGGAGGAAGAGGTTTCAGAAAGTGTGTGATGAGGACAAGCTGTGTTCTTGCATGAAGCCCACTGTTTCATCATGTGAGGTGAAGCAGAATGAATCCAAGGGAGGTCAGTTCGGTAGAGCAGTGAGGGAGAAGGGTGTGAAGAAGAAGGATGGGAAGCATGTTTCACTTGAGTGCCTTATAGGTTTTATCTTTGATCAGTTATCTCAGACTCTTCAGAGTCTTGATCATGGGGTGCAACAAAATAAGGATGACCTTGACTCTGGGGAAACAAGTCTGCCTCAACCTTCTTTTTCTCACTTTGGTCATGTGAATGCACTCTCAGGTTTCTTGGAGGAGCACAGAGTGTATGTGAATGGTTTCTTGGGGAATTTGAGGTTTGCAAAGGTGGGTGGTGTGCCTCCATCAAGTGCGCCTGGAGAAGAAAGCCCTTCAATAAACGGAGATGGAGATAATAGTAGTAATAATAATGGTAATGGTAATGGTAATGGTAATAATGAAAACAAGGATGAAGCCGGAGGAAATTCAAATTCGCCGCAGAAGGTTGCCAACAACATATTCAGTATTCCTCTTTCAAATGTGGAGCGTCTAAGGTCTACACTTTCCACAGTTTCATTGACAGAATTGATTGAACTGCTACCACAGTTGGGGAGAACAGTTAAAGACCATCCTGATAAGAAGAAACTAATCTCGGTACAGGATTTCTTTAGATACACAGAGTCTGAAGGTATGGCATCTTACATAGGATAGAAAAAGAGAATTTCAATTTGCTTGCATAGAATACCAGCAAACTCTTGTTAATAACTTAAGTTATTGATTGTTAAAAAGTAAAAACATAAGAGTTCTTTTGGATTATGGTGTACCTTTTATTCAAAGTTATGAATGCATTTATTAGCATACAACTGAGCATAGGAATTGGATAAAACATGTTGTACATATGCATGGAGAGGGAAGGATCTTTGAAAATATTAATTAAATATGTCAATATAGGAGGAACCTGTCTTAGCAAATATAAGAGTATATTTTAGGTACATTTTTTAGTGTTAAAGGAACTGACATGAATTCTATGATTCATATAATGATATTAGCAATTAGCTAGTAGTTTCTGTGCCAAGCGGTATGGTAGGTGATGTAATATATTGAGGGGGTTGTAATACAATTTGAGTAAACATTAACGCAGGCTTGTTTCATAAATCTGCTTCTGCTTCTGAAATGCAGGGCTTTGATTCCCTGAGAACAATTTTAATTTTTTTTATATATTTGAGTTGGGAAATGTGAAGGAGGGAAGATTAATTAGGCTGCTCGAGGACTGAGAACAATAAAAAATGTGAACGTTGGTGTTTTAGCAATTTTCCCCTTCTTTCCCCCCTTTAAAACAGTTTTTAAAATTTATTTTACAAAATAATTTTATAAAAGAAAATCCTAAAACTACAATAAAATATGCCTGCCCTTATTTTTTTTTTCTTTTCTGGATTAGTGTTTGGCCATTGTGGCAATCGATCCCTGCATGATCAAAACTCCGATTAGTAATCATGTATGACTATACAGTATACAATCAAGGAATATACTTCATACGATAAATAATTTCTATTACAAATGGATACAGGCTCTAGATCCTATGCAATTGTGATCTTTTAGCCTTTTTGTCATTTGTGCTTTGGTCTTGTACCTATCGTCATTCAAATTATGTTTAAGCTGTTTGGCTATTCCATTTCTGACATCTTTGCTTGAAGTATGTAGGTAAGATTTCCAGTTTATTTGTTGTGTATTATTAGAAAAGAAACTAGGCCTACAGAAAGAGAAACAGAAATCTATTTTGTTATTATTATTTATTGTTACAAAGAGATCCTCTATATGTAGAGGAAGGTAATGGTCTCAATCAGAAACAGTTACATACAGATAGTACTAGGTGTTGACTAAGCACTACATATATGATTGCCAACTGTCCACTGATTGTTAACAGATAGAGAAGATAGGCTAGTTACAACACCAGTTACTAAACTATATAGAGACTAGGTACTGCACTTAACATATATGTTTATTTGTGGGGTTTTTGCTGGAATGCCAAATTTGACTTTTCATTTTCAATATCATAACAGGGAAAAGGTTCTTTGAGGAGCTGGATAGAGATGGTGATGGCCAAGTAACTCTAGAAGATCTAGAAGTTGCAATGAGAAAAAGAAAGCTACCACGAAGATATGCTAAAGAGTTTATGAGCCGTGCTAGAAGTCATTTATTTTCCAGGTCGTTTGGTTTGAAGCAGTTCTTGTCATTATTGGAACAGAAGGAGCCAACAATTCTTCGTGCATACACTTCTCTATGTCTAAGCAAGTCAGGGACATTAAAGAAGAGTGAAATATTGGAATCACTAAAGAATGCAGGACTACCTGCAAATGAGGACAATGCTGTTGCTATGATGCGATTTCTCAATGCAGATACAGAAGAATCTATATCATATGGACACTTCCGCAATTTCATGCTTCTGCTTCCCTCAGACCGTCTTCAAGAAGATCCTAGGTAAGAAACATATGATCAATGGATTGGTTTTCTATTTTAATTGCCCTGTATATTCTATTGGAGATAGATGTATTATAAATATCACTTTATTATATATAAACTCAATTACTCCTTTTTATATATTTGTTTTTGGACATTGTGGGGAGGGTTGTCAATAAGTGACATTACTGTCTTGGCAAAATGCTGTGCTTATGCATATAGTTACTTATATATTTACAGATAATGATGTCACAATACCTTTAATGATAGAAAGGAAATTTAATATAGAGAAAAGAGGGAAAGTTCAAAAAGGGGGGATTAAAAAGTAATGTGTGCATCCAATTCCAACCAAAACTATACGTTGCCACAAAGTTTGGGTATGAAGCCTTGATAAATAAGTTTTCAAGGATTACATAGTGATTCTATAATTATAGGAGTGTCTTACTACACAACAGTCTTGATTCTAGATGTTCCTTTTAAACAAACAAAATCAGTAAGTTACCAACAAATTGTTGGAGGGAGGTAATTTAGAATCATAGGGTACTAATGCTAACCTCATTTGGGGTTAGGATGTTTACGAAGTTTGGGAAGGTTACTAACGGAAGGTGTTCAAAAGGTTTTGGATTGAGACATAAGGAGTCTTGGTGGTGGAATGAAGGTGTTCAAGACAAGCTAAGAAATAAAAGTGTGTTTTAAGGCCATAAACAGGTGCAATAATGCTGACAATTGGAAAAAGGTATCAGAAATTCAGAATGCTAGGAATGAGACAAGGAAAGCAACGAGTGAGGCACGATTCAAAGCTTTTGAGGAGTTTTACCAATATATTGGGACAAAGAATGGAAAACATAAGATACATAAGTTTGCCTAAAATAGAGAAAAGAGATTATGAAACTTGAACCAAGTAAGACATATTAAGATTGAACAAGGAAAGGTTTTGGTTGTAGCTCAAGATATCAAAGATAGATGAGAGAAATGTTTTTATAAGTTTGTCAATGATGGACTGACACTGACTTTTAATATGGAAGGATGATAAATTCTAGGGGACTATCAAAATTTGGCTTACTGTCGCAAAATTTGAGTTGGGGAGGTAAAAGAAGCCCTTAAGAGGATAAATAATGGTTAACTTGTTGGTCTTGACCCAATAGATTGATGTAGTGGTTAGGCACCCTTTGTTCACATGTTTTATGGACAATCTATGTAGTGGGGAACTCGTGTTTGGTCCCTGCCATGTGCGAAAACTTGTCAGGCAATGACAATCATAGTACTGCGAGTGAAATTAGTCTCAAGCTCAATCGGCTAGGGAGAACCCTGTGGTAGGACCAAAAAAGAAATCCCTATTGAAGTTTGGAAATGTGTATGTAAAACAGGTATCATTTGGTTCGCCAGGCTATTTAATGAGATTTTGAGTTTTAAGAAAATGCTAGATGAGTAGAGGAGAAACACTTTGGTTCCTTTATTTAAAAGCAAGACAGATAATCAAAATTGTGTGAAGTAAAGAGGAATAAAATGTATGAATCACATTATGAAATTATGAAGAATAGGTGAATTAGATAGATTAAGTTGATTGTCAGTATATTAAATTGTTGTGGTTTAATGTGGTCCTTGTCGTTTCCTATCTTAATTTAAGGCAAATATTCAGAAAAAATGATATTATGCAATAAGATTAAATTATGTAGAAGTGTTGCAGTTAGTATTTTAATTTCCTCAATGATGATTAAGATTAAGATTCATCAGCAGTTAATGATTAAGATTCATCGTTTATAATTTATATCGATGACTATTTTTGTTATGGTTATACTTTCAGGAGTATTTGGTTTGAAGCTGCAACTGTAGTCGCTGTTCCACCAGCTGTTGAAATTCCAGCAGGAAGCGTTCTAAGATCTGCATTGGCAGGTGGCCTTTCTTGTGCCCTGTCTTGTGCATTACTGCATCCAGTTGATACAATTAAGGTATGTTCTTGAACTTTCACAAACTTATTGATTTCTTCTGTAACTGCTGATTTCATGTCTTTATCTGTGGAGAGCACACAATTCCATATTCCTCTCATAGCTTTTATTTTTTAGACTCCTTTAAGAGGACTCATCATTGTCTTATTCGGTATATTAGACTCGAGTACAAGCATCAACCATGTCCTTCCCTGAAATAATTTCTAAGCTGCCGGACATTGGAAGGCGGGGTTTATACAGAGGGTCAATCCCTGCCATTCTTGGACAGTTTTCGAGGTTGTTTATTTGATCTCTTTTCAATTCCCCCCTTCTCATTCTCCTTTATGTTGAAACAAAAAAGCAGAAAAGAAGTTGGTGTTTCAAGCTTCATTAAAACCTTCTCTTAACAGTGATAGATTAGAGTTATTTTCCCCTTTAAAGCTTATGCTACCTTTGTAATGCAGCCATGGCTTGCGAACTGGGATATTTGAAGCTAGTAAACTGGTGTTGATAAATGTTGCTCCAACACTGCCAGAACTCCAGGTAATTTGTAAAGTCTATTTGCTTTCTATTAATATCCTGGGCTACTCCTGATTATTTTTCCTTGTTTGTTGTTGAGAATGCAAAGAACATACAGTGAATTGCCTCATTTCCCTAACATTCAGTTAAATTATACCTACGTCCTTGTTTTGTCCCAGAATATCAGTCTGTCAGGTTTTCTGCATTATATAATTTAGATTAGTTAAAGCTGTTGCATTATTGAGAAAACTGGTTAAGAAGATAGCTACACTACTGCTGCAAACTTTCCGAGTTTCCCTCTTACCATAAATAAAACCAAGAGAAATCTGTCACTCAGTGATAAGTGAATTTTTTACTTAAGCTAAATTATTTACCTCCTTGTCTTTATTAGAAGGGTTGTTATTGGTGGTAATATGTTCCCTCACAAGGACATGTTAGGTAATTAGGATGATTTAAAATGAAAGGTAATAAAGGATTCTTAACCCGAGGGAACATGGTAATGAAACCCTTATTAGAATGATGCAAATGCTTTTAAGTGAGATGTTCATACCTAATAGATAAACATTTCTCAAATTCTATTCTATAGTTTTTAATACATAAAAGGTTTGTTCACTTTGATTAACCTTTGAAAGGGAATTTTACATTAGTAGGTTGATAATAATTTCTTTATATTGTTTAATAGGGTCTGCTTTCTTGTCACTTCTCTAAAATCTAGAAGTTTCATGTATGAGCATTTTTTGTAGGTTCAATCTGTAGCATCATTCTGTAGCACATTTTTGGGAACAGCTGTGCGGATCCCCTGTGAGGTGTTGAAGCAGAGGTTACAGGCTGGTCTTTTTGAAAATGTGGGTGAGGCTTTTGTGGGGACTTGGGAACAGGATGGCCTTCGGGGTTTCTTTCGTGGAACTGGAGCAACACTATGCCGTGAGGTTCCATTTTATGTTGCTGGCATGGGGCTTTATGCAGAATCTAAGAAGGTGTGTAATTTCCATGACTCAACATGTTTCTTGGTCCTGTTTGTCAATGGAATTTACATTTTTTATTAATGCATTGATAATATATCTCTGAAGCATTGGCCTTTAACTGAATGATTTATGTGATGCCTGTACCTGACCTCACCTAGTAGGATAAGGCTTTATTGTTGTATTATATTTTCGTTTGAAACTTGTGTGAAAATAAATGTTTTATGTTCACCCAAAAAAATAAAAATTAAGCAGGATTATATAGGAAATTTTACAGTTTCATGGAGAAAGATTAATATCAGTTTATTTTTTGACTACTGTTTAACACAAACTTAAGCAGCAGTAAATTTTAATGTGTTATATCAAATGAGTTGAAGTACATCTTAGCTAACATTAAGCCATGGGATATTCTTCTTCAAAATTATGTGACATGCATTCTGAAGCCTGAATTGATGTAATATACACCAATTAGCAGGGAATAACTCAATCATAAACAGTTGTGACCATACAATAATAATAAATTGCATGTAGACTTTGTATAGTATGTTTGGCTGGCTACCAGTGAATTTCCTTTAAAATGGTATGTTGTCATGGATGATTACTGAGTGATGGTTTTGGCGTTTGACTTTTAGGTTGCCGAACGACTACTAGAGCGGGAACTCGGTCCCTTGGAAACAATTGCTGTTGGAGCTTTATCTGGTGGCTTGGCAGCTGTTGTCACGACGCCGTTTGATGTCATGAAAACTAGAATGATGACTGCTCAGGGTCGGTCTGTGTCAATGACCTTTATAGCCTTCTCTATACTAAAACATGAGGGACCCCTTGGCTTGTTCAAAGGAGCAGTGCCCAGGTTCTTTTGGATTGCGCCTCTTGGTGCTATGAACTTCGCAGGTTATGAGTTAGCAAAGAAAGCAATGAATAAAAATGAGGAGGGCAAGGCAGGAAGTGCAGAGTAATATCTTTGTTAACTGGGATTCTGTCACACAGCAACCAAATGTCTGGTGGAATTTTTGAGTTTATTGCAGCAATCATTGGAATAAGGCCATTGATGCTGCTCTGAATTACACATTTTGTTTCCTTTTGTTCATTTTATACTTTTATGAGATTGCCCTTTAGCAGCAGAATTAAAAAATATGTTCACCATATAATTGCAAACTATAAAGGTTCAATTTATTTCTTCATCTATTGTACAGATTTTAATCCTTTGTATCTTTGAGCTCACATCTTTTTTGTTTTCTTGGTCCATTTTTTCATCCCATTTTGAGTTGATTTGCAAATCTTCATTTACTTGGTTAGAGCACTGTGTATTTACAATCAATTTATTATGTACTTATTACAATATAATTCTTGCGTTTCAGACTGTAGCTTAATTGGTATATCTCAAGTATGAGGTGCGGATATGAATTTTGCATACCCGAAGTTCAGATGGTTGCTTGACTAATGATAAAATTTTGTAAATTTACTTCTCGATACACTATATATATAATGCATAATGTTTTTAGGCATGTAAAAAAGTCTTTTGAAAAAAAGACTCTAGTCTTCAAACTTTAGACATAACAAGTATAATTTAGCTGATTTCACGACACATGCCTGGCAAATAAAACGTTGTTACATAGACTGTGACAATATAAATACTCATTTTTCTTTCTCTCCACATTAGATCACCACCTATCACACAATAACTCTCCCCTCTTCTCTCATGGTATAGACCAGTATTTGGTGTTCACAAAGAATGTAAATTTATGACCAACAAATGTCCTTTTATTTATTTATACATCCATCAAATTTGCTTTTTGAAAAAAAAAATCAACTAATTTAATTTCGCTAAAAGAGAGTCACAAAAATTGACTTTCAAATTATAAGTCTATCAATTATTTATATATAAAAAAATATAGTGTACTCGATGGTGGAATGGTGATGGGGATGGTCCTGCAAGCACGTAGGGATGTCCGCAAAGCTTTAAATGGTAGAGGCAATGATGTGGTTGTTCACCAATCAAATTACCGGCAAGCATTATATGCGTAGTTAGAGCACTGAATATTTGGTTTTGTGGATGCTTGTGGTTAGGTTAAGTCTTCATTTTGGGCTAAAATGTTTAAATAGTACAACTTTTTTAGGAAACAACCAAATTTCAAAGTTTTAAAAGAAATTAAAAACATATTTTACCCTTAAGTTTATTAACTCAAATAGACCATGTTAGTACAATTTTTATTGGACTTACGTAATTTAAAGTTAAAACTTGAAAAATATAGTACAAAATGGTTGAATTTTAATTTTATAATTCCTTTAAAATTAAATGTTTCGTGTCTTGATCTTATTGATTATTTCTTGATAAGACAGAAAAGAAAGCTAAGATATAAATCTTATATTTAGTTTTATTTTTCAAAACACAAAGCTCTTTCATTTTTAAAAAATTTATCTTCAAATGTGTTTGATCTATCTTACTCTTTTTATGAATTCTATGTTGCACTAGTGTGGTCTATGGTGCACCATAAATAATAACTCTTACATTAATATAATTTTCATTTATTATAATTAGTGGAGTGAAGGCTTTTTGTGCCTTTGTGTAATGAATAATAGAAGTAATTGTTTAATAAAGGTGTAAAAGTGAGAGAAAGGATATAAAAAAATTAGAATATAAATAAAAACATTTATTACATTTGTGTGAAAAGTTAGGCTTACTAGAGTCTTAAAAAGATGCGGACAAAAAATAATTGAAAAGTTAATTAATATGAGATATGTATTACTAAGGTGTACCTTCCACGTTGTATCCTAACAATTAATCTTCTTCCTCTCACCAACTACCATGGCTGTTGGAATGCTTTTGTCTTTAGTGCACCATTACCAGAAACGATTTCTGACGACAGTGCTACAACTTTTTGTCCTCTCCTTCCTCTTATTCTTCACCTCTTTTTTGGGTTTGGTTTTTGTATTGTAGGTTTGATACAAAAGGCATCCAAATGAAAATCTCATGTGGCAAACGAGGTAGGCAAGTGTGAACTATGTTACTAATGCACACAACAGAGGGGTGGAAGTGAGAAGCATGATACAATGTAGGAGAGTAGACTACTAGGGGTGGGCAAAAAAAACTGAACTGAACTGAACTGAACTGAACTGGTGGTGAACTGTACTATAAAAAACTGAACTGTTTGTAAAAAAACTGAACTGAACTGTTTAAAAAAAAACTGAACTGAACTGAACTGTTATAAAGTTGAACTGTACTAAACTATAAAAACTGAACTGAACTATAAAAATTGAATTATTTTTATAAAAGAATAAAAATTAAATGTGTTTAACATATTATGTCTTAATGGATTAGCTCGATAGTCTAATAACCAAAACTTAAAAAAAAAGTGATCTGAAAAAAAATTGTATCAATTTTGTCGAACTTAACGGATCAATTGAGCTATGTTGAACTACTTATTTTTAGGCTTAAAATTTACTGAGTTTGTTTGACTTAATTTTATATTTTTTCCTTTGAAAAATTTAAATAAAATATAAAATAAAGTAAAGTTGGCAAATGTGTCCTATTTTGATAGATCAATGAGTCAAAATTGTTCAATTCAAAATATCATAACAGTTTAGTGCAGTTTAAATTGTAGTTCAGTTCAAGTTTTTATAGTACAGTTCAGTTCAGTTCAATGACACAAAAGAATAGTTCAGTTCAGTTTGTCTGAACTAATGTTTAGTTTAGTTCAGTTCATATGAACTACTTTTAAGTTCAGTACAGTTTTTATAAGTTCAGTTTAGTTCAGTTCGTTTTGCCCACCCCTATAGACTACAACTAGAGTGTCGCTAACCACCACTGCTCATTGTTGTCCAAGGTGATTTCCGGTGGCAGCACCATTTTCCCCTTTCTCTTTTGTTCTTCCATGACTGTGGATTTGTCGCTTAAGTACAGATCTACCACACAATTATAAATCTTCCACGATGCACAAGTCTATCGTGACAAAGTGTGGATTAGTCACAAGGGAGACTTGCAAATGAATTCAAATGTGTGACTTTGTTACATGAGTATAGATCTCTCATGATGTAATCACTCACGAGCTTAAATTTGTTACAATAGAGTATATATCTACTAAACAAAGATGCGTAAGTGAAGAGTGTGAATTTGTTATAATGAGATACATTTTTTGTTTTATTGTTTGTTTGACTAAATATCGTAGAATTGAATCTCAACATAAACTTTCTTCTTTTTTTGAGAAAGAGAAATGAAGAAATAAAATTAAAGATAAATTAACGTTTCAATAATGGTGATGGTCACCATTGTTAAGAAAAAACAAAAATAATTATAATATTATGTAAGAAGTCCACCTTTAATAATCTAAACCCTATATTAATCTAAAAGTTGTTAAAACCACCTATTAAAGTGATTCACCTTAGACTTCATCCCTCGATGAAAACTAAATTAATCTAAAGACTACAATAGACCATTTGAAGAAGTGTACTATAATCCTTCTCCTCTTTCAACGAGAACAAATGGTAAAAAGAAACTATACTACCCAAAATTGTAATTTTAAAAGACTTCACCTTTTTTATTTCCTTTTGAAAGATATACTGAGCCGAGTAAATTTTTTTTTTTTCTCAGCTATCACCGTTTTAAATTGGATATGCATACAAGGACACAATATTTCGCAAATCCTTTGGTAAAATTATGGAAAGCTCTCGTTCAAGCTCTCTATTACCAAAATGTAAACCTTTTATTCTTAACAGCAAAATATAAATCCCGGATAACGCTTTAGCATTTTTCGGTTTGCCCCGAATATGCCAGGGTATGGACCAAGTCGTTGCTATTCTAGTGTTTAGCTTTACGATACGATTAAACTGAAAGAAAAATATATTTTTTTTACTGGGTAAACATAATTTATTTAGAAAAACACAAACCAGCATTATCTTGAAATTTTCTGACCACAAACCACAAGACAGCAGTTTGTTGACGACTCAGGTGTAGTCTTAAGTGATTAACTACAGCACCACAAAAAATATCGACAGTGATAATAAGAACCTTTAAACTGCAAGGGAACCGAGTTACAAAGAAATCAATGTAGTTGTTATTATTGAACCAGCAAGGAAAACATCAATTTCTGATGTTTTGCTAATTGAAAATCAATAGCCCCAGTTATCATTCCTGATCTCATCATCAAACTTTTTCTTCAGCTCAGGATGCTTGGCAAAGTACTCATCTGCCGTCATCGTACTAAGCTTTTTCTGTAAAGAATAAATGACGGCATGAGTTTTTCTATTTTTTATTTATTTTAAATGAAAATGAAAAATCTGTGAGGTGATTTCTATTACCTTCAGCTCTTGTACATCAGCAATTTCCTTTTCCAATCTTTCAGACTCCTTCAGAGATTTCTCCTCTGCTTCTTTAAGTTCAACCAACTGCAGCCAGACAACACAATATATAGCACAATTAAGTGTAATGTATTTCAGTAAGAAACTTTATCTAAGGCGCAAGAGATTTAAAACAAAATACGAACTAAAGATTTGACAAGTTCATACAAGTGAGTCAAATTTAGCCTTATATTGAGGAGTTACTGTGTCGACAAACTTGGGGATCTCTATGCCTGCAGAGAAACCATCACACAAAATGTTAAAGGTCAAAACTAATGGTAGGCGAAACAGTGAAATTATAACAGGAAATCATGGTTTTGATACACACACATAGGGGCATATCAAGTTAATCTTCATCATCCATGCGTAAGATAGAATAGTCATATGATTAGATTTACCTCTCAAGCTCCCTATATATTTATATTTATGGTTTTAATTACCTTTTTGGTCCATAGTTTCATATATTTCACTTTTTAGTCTTTATACAAATCAATTTTTGGTCTTTTAGTCTCTGTCGTCTATTTCTATAGAGAAGAATAAAAAGGTAAAGTACATGCCACTATAGGGACTAAAAGAATACAAAAAATTGTATATATAAGGATTAAAATTGAATATTTTCAATTATAGATACTAAATGCTAAAGTTTATGAAATCATAGGTACTAAAAGGGTAATTAAACCTATATTCATATAGACACAACCCATTCACACATGGGGCATTCAGTACAATTTTCAACAATAACATCTTCTCCCCAAATAGGAATTCAAATGCAAGGCTGATGTAGAGTGTTTTGCACTGTAGCTACAAAAAAGACCTCTGAGCTTATATCAAACCAAATCCATTTTCAAAATTCTATTCCATATTATACACAAAGATGTGCAAAAAATCCAAATCAAACTAATCCAAAACTGAATCGATCCATTTTTTAAAAACAAATCAGTTAATTCAATTGTTTTACAAGGTGGATTGGTTCTGTTTTATGAGAAATCCAAACCATATTTATGAGTATAAACTATAAAGTGGATAACCAAATTACATCAAACCCATCCAATTTAAAAGAAAATCTAATTGGTTTTTAGAAAAACCGAACCAACTCATTTTAAATGGAAAAAATCATATCAGATTTTTCAAAAATCCAAACTGTGAACAGCCCAAATTGTATAGGTGTTTACTAAATGTATATTGATATTTTCTAAATGTGAAAGCAGCAGCAAAAATATTGTCTCAGCTGTGTAGCAGATTTTTCTTGTGCTTTTCCTTATAAAATTGGGAAATAATCAAATAACAAAAAAAAGTTCCAAATATCCATATTAAATTTTGAACACCACATTCCTTGTATCATTTGAATATATTGGGTTTTAACATGCAATAGGTAGTAGATTACAACATAAGGAAATCAATTAACATGAGAAGCAACAAAAGAATGTTATGGAAATATCAATTTTGGAGGATGACTTGTCAACCTCTTAAAGGTGTTTTATCCAAATTACTATCTACTATTCTTTGAGAAATTTATAGCTCATATTCTGTTCTATCAAAAGAATATGGTACCATTAAGTGCAAGAAATAGACAAAATTGAATTTTTTAATATCTTTATACACTTTTCCTAAACCACAATTTTATTCAAAGAGAGAAAAGTTCAAAAAGAAATAACTTTAATTTTAGTAAAACTGGTGATATTTGCACTGCCTTGCAAATCACACCAAAGTGTAAAACAGAGAGCATGTTAAGGAATAACAAACGGATTCACAGATCCCAAAGCAGGACTGTAAGGCTAAAAATGGTTGCAAGGCTCTTGGTTTATATAGGAAAGAAAGTGTGACCAGAACTGAATTTACAAAAATTTAATTCAATCATGTCATCACCAATAAGAATGTGTCAAGTACACTACCCGTACTGGTATAATCAAGAAATCTAAAATGTATGTATATTAAGATCATTCACAAACATACTCTCATAATGCTCCTTGTACATATCGACCAAACGGGTGCCAATTCCTTTTCTGTAATAATCCCAATCTATGGGCTCAGGCTCCTGCAGAATGTGAATAACGAATAAGCAAGGGCCGATTAATACATTTAAAAAAAAAAAAACAATTACACAACCTTTGATATATTAAACATTTTTCAAGAAGTAAATAACTAATTTATCACATGATCACTCCGAATCGCAGAGCTCTCTCTCATTCAAAACACGACGCCGAGATGTTCGTCCAAAAATTCACATAACAGGTACGTATCGTTAAAAATAATCATTTCCAAAAATATTCAGAGAACCTAAGTGCGTGTTTGGATTAGCTCATTTCATTCAAATGAGTTTATAATCAAGACCAATAGCGGAATGAAACAACTATTCGTTTATTTCCAAAATCATTTCCAAAACTACATTCCGAAGAAGAGAAACTAAGTGCGCATTCGTATTAGCCTATTGCATTCGAAAGAGTTTATAATAAATCAGAAATCGCTGTAAATCTGGTACGTGCACTAAGAGCCAACCGATCTAACACCTGAGAATAATACGGAAATAAATTCGCATCCTAAATCGAATGCAGAAGGAAACGATACAGATAGATCGGCGAAAGAAGGTACCTGGCTGAACTTGGTCTGGAGTTGGGAGTTAACCTCGTCGAAAGCGCGACGAAGGTTGGCGAACTCTCTGCGAGCCTCATCGGAGACGAGAAGCTTCGCCATTCCATCCCAATCGATGGTCCTACCCACCTTGAAAGCCACATCGGTAACTTTCTTCACCGTTCCGCTCATTTTCGATGCGATTTTCTCTTCTCCCAAACGCGATTCTAATACCTCGGTGCTACCTCTGCTGCTCTCTGCTCCCTTTCACACCCTCCTCCTATGACCTTGCTTCGTCGTGTGGGCCGGGTTCTATCGGGCCGGCCCATTACCGCAACAAAATACACTTGGGCCTTTTACGATTTAAATCTTCCCTTTCGAAACACTTTCCTCTCTCATTTCCTTTTCACAGCACACTCTCCCTTTTTGTTGCTTTGACATCCCTCCTTTTCTCTCTTCATATCATAAAATTAATTTCAATAAAATTAACATAATATTTTAAAATTATTTTTTGGAATTAAAAAACAAAACAGTATATCATAAAATACTTTTTGAAATTAATTATGATTATATTACTTTTCAGAAAATATTTTTTTAAAAAATGTTCAAATGCCTAATTGTGAACTATTAAGAAATTGTCGAATTTTTACAACATTAAATATAGGTCAGAGACTACATCTAAATTAAAATGTTTGTCTTATATAATAAAAATCAATCAACAATTAGGATTGCTAGTATAAAGGATATTTGTGGTACTATATATTAAAAAACAGTATAGTTAGCAAAAATAAGGAGAGTGTAAATAGTAAAATTGGCCTTAGTGGTCACGAAAGGCCCAAACCAATGATAAAGAAATCAAAGACATGCAGGCAATCATATTAAAAGAGAATGTGCTTTTAGCCGATGTACTGGTTTTGCGTCACACTCGTATCTAGGTCTAGATTTGCTTTGCATCTAAAGCAAGCACGTGCATTTTGGGGCCCCTCATTGGGCCTAGATATGGGCTTGGTTCTTTTCCTCTTTATTGCTTTTAGCAGGCCCTACTTTGGACCAGTAAATAAAATAAAGTGACAAGTTTAAATTATTATGGTTGTCTTCTCAATTTCTCATGGTCACGTAGAAAGTGAATGAATACTAGTAGCCTACAATGCTGATTTTAAAAATGAGTTCGTTGAGAAGGTAAATTTAAGTGATGATCTTTTGTCGGGTTATGCTATGGACTCAATGGCTCATAATAAATTATATAGCCTAGACTGAAGTCCCAAGTATAATTAGTCATTATGACTTATAAGTCAGAAGAAAAAAAACATCGTTAATGCAATTAAAGTTTTTTTTTTTTTCAATTAACATAGTTTAGATCCTGTTCTAAATTTAATAATTAAGAACTAATTTATACTTATAAGATATAAGTTTTGATAATTAAATATTATTTTAACGTATATAAAATTTATTTATGTAATCATTTGATTATATTAATATAAATATTACTTACGTATATTAAAGAATTTTATGATTTATGATAAAGTTAAAATTAAACTTTAAAAAATAAAGTTGGACGACTATTTTTCTTAGTTTTCAATATTTTGGCCTATTTTATTTTTTAAAGCTTGAAATCACAATATAGGAATAATAAACCAAAATATACATGACAAAGAATTATTACGAGTTACATACTTGCACTAATTCAGTTTCAATCGTTTCACACATTGATATTGAATAATGAGAAATCATTTCATTAATTTATACAATTTTCCCTTTTAAACTAATTTTCAACACTCATCCAAAACATTTACATCAATTTAAAGCTAAAGTAAACGCAGCTCCAAAACATTTACATCAATTTGAAGCTAAAAGTAAACGCAGCTCGTTTCATTTTAGAAAATATGAATGTTTCTTTTGAACAAAAGAAACTAATGTTGTGAAAAGGAAAACCCGTCAAGGAGGCCAAAACACCGAAACTCAGCTACAATCTCTACAGCCATATTTGTAGAGTCAAAAGGCATGCGAATGTTTCCTTTGATTCCGTCCAACATGCCCTTCATTAGCTGCTTCCACCTCGTATATTAACATGGGTTATACGATGATGAAGTCTATTACTGATAGAGATAGATGGTATCGTCAACGTATGCTCCATAGCCTCTGGTTTTCATCTACTTAATTTCCTTGCCTTCAATTTTGATATATACATGCACCCTCGCAATTAAATCAAGTATTGTATATATGAATGAACATTATATTATGTATAATTAAGATCGAGTCACATTCACTAATAAAGATCCTTAAAAAAAAAACGTTGGTGAATTTTAATATGAGTCATGTCAAATGCGAAGTATTCTACAAGGTATATGTATGCTGGTGTAAGCAAACTCATGAAATAATCTCAGTCATATTCCTTAATTGAAAAAACCTCTTCATTTTTTCCTTCTTCACTTATGGTCTCGATCGCGACACGTCAATTGGGGGACTAATTAAACACAATGAAGATCTTGCACCTAAAAGCATATGTACGTCTGCTAGTTCTGGTCTTTTGTCTTTATTCCCTAGCCAGCTATATACACCACTTCTTTCATATATTGGTCCCCCAATATCCCAAAGTCATATTTTGCACTAAACATTAATTATGAATATTAATATATATAACTAAGAGGCAAGAGCTAAGACTTGGTTTAGTATAACGCAATGCTCTTGACTCCGTATGTATGTAATTTACGAACTCAAACATGTAGTCATACTTTTTTGACGGGGTAGACAGTGACAAGTAGTGGAGATATAACTAACAAAAAATAATATATCTGAAATCTTAATAAGCTGATCTTTCTTGAGGCCATTGGTCATTGCATGCCGCCTAAGAGAAGCTACAAAATTCGTTTGGATATCTACAGATTAATTGAATGCTATACATCATCAATAGCTATCCGAAAGCTATAAATAAAATACTGCACTAACCCCTTGTCCAAAATTCAAGGGTTTCACACACAAAATATTAGAGATGAGGATGGATAATATTGGAGAAAGAAAGGTCATGAAGGCTGCTAATTAACGACATGGGGCAATATTGCAGGTCAAGTTTTGCTAACTTTAGAGTGGTCAAATCATGTTCTGAGTTTCTAGTTTATGTGCTTACAAAACTTCATTTTCTATCAGCCATTTGACGTTAGGAATTCAAGCTGCCGTACCGAGGGGGAAGCCCTAGACCCGAACAGACTCAAATCAGAAGATGCAATTGGACAAGGAAGCATGCCAAATAATCATAATAAGACAATCCAGGATTAACAATAATACAAAAATCGGCTGCGTAAATGGGTCCTTCTACGAAACTAACCATAAGAAATACTTGTCACGTCTCTCCATCACAAGAAATATTATTATAGCTTGCTGAAAGTGTGTATATACATTGATTCCATTCGTGTAGAAGAAATTTCTGATTTTATCTTCTTGTTCACCATTGCCTTTTTGTTAATGTCATCAATATATGTGTTAACTTGGTCAGTTTAGGCGGGAACCTAATAATCATTAACTGGAAGAATCCTTATAGCACATGCTAATAATAAGACTCAAGTTCAAGATGGATTGTTTATCATCTTGGTTCATTGATTCATACTTTTGAAAAGTTTGCAGCCTACATGCTATACTATACTTACAAATTCAAGTCTTGTGTGTCTTTCACTTTGAATTATATTGCGCAGTCTATATCAAGCAAAACCTATATATACACGTTGCTGAGTTATTTATATTTGTTTTTAATTATGATATTAATACGAAATCATCAAAAATAATGATTAATTTCTACAAAAAAAAATTAAAAGTGCATATAAGTCGAGTATTTCCATTTTAACATAACTTATTTTATATCAAAATCAAAAATCAAACCCTAAAAAACTTAATTAAGAGACAAAAATCACTACTAATTGTATCAATTAATGTTAGTGAAGAGTTATATATGTATGTTGATGCACATTAATTGTAAAGTTTTATTAATAATACCTCACGTGTTTGAGGAAAATTAGAGAAATTTTTTTAACTTCTCGAAGTTATATATAATTTATTTTTATATATTTAATTTGCTTTAATTTAATAGTCGGTATATTTTTTTTACTCAAGACATTAATTTTATCACTTTGACAATAATATATTGAACCTTATAAAGGAACTTGAACAATAATATATTGAACCTTATAAAGGAACTTGAAGAACTCGGTTATATGTATAAATTAAAGTTGTTCTCGATACCTCCAATTTCACTTAATTTGTAAGAAGATTTTAATTTGGATATATATAAGAAGATTTTAATTTGGATATATATATTAGTGTAAAAAATTTTACTACATAAAATCATCTTTTATGTGACTTCTTAAGTTATATTTGACAAAAATAATTAAATTAATAAACTGGTTGAAAAGTTAATAACTTACATAATAACAGTTAAACTAGCTTATTGAATTATATGAGCTTAATAAAATTATTAGTTAAAATAGCAGATAAATGTAAAGTTGAAGACTTTTATTTTTTAACTAATTTTAATATACTATAATATTTTATTTAAAGATATTATCAGAATTTAATTTCGTTGCATTTTCTTTAGTTCCAGTTATTATTATTTTTTCATGTTGTATATTCTATTATTAATTTTATGTTATATCTTACAATACTCTCGACCAATGCAAATTTAGAATAACATAGATGTTATATTTTCATTATATCGTTTAGTATGATAATATTATTGAATACTTTTAAATACTATTTATTATTAGTATTATCATACTTATCAATACCTTGAAATGCTCCATTAAAATAATAAAATAAATAACAAAAATATAATGATTAAAATAAATAACGTGATATAAAAATATCCAGAAAACAATAACAAAAAGGAATAGGACGTAAAATCATACGTTAAGTTTATACTAAAAATAAATTTTAAAAAAATGCTTAAATGTGTAATTGTGTAATTTTAGTTTTTCAATTTTTAATTGAGTAATCATAGTTCTTAAAATATTACAATTGTGTGGTTTTAATTTCTAAAGCATCGCAGTTATACAAATTTTTACCTATTTAAATTTTTCTATATATTTAATAATTTTAGTAATAATAAATGTATATCAATTAATATATAAATAAAAATTATAATATATGTAACTTAAATAGATCAAAAATTGTATAACTATAATATTTGAGAGACTAATTTTTTTTAATTAAAATTTGAGAGACTAAAATTTTACAAAACTTAAAGGACTAAAATTAGATAATTATAATACTATAGGATAAAAAAAACACAATTAAGAAAAAAGATAATAAGTTTAATATACATTTTAAAGATACTAAGAGAATAAAATTGAAACATAAGAAGTTAAGACTAAAGAATCATTGGGGTTGTCACTTGATATAGATAGTATATGTTGTATATAAGGTATTACAAAAAGATACTAGTCTCACATTAGCTAGTATTGTATATTTGGAGAATGGTTTATATATTAAGTTGTAATATAAGCATACAAAGAGACTAATAAGAGTGGAAAGATTTCTGTCCATGCACATGAACCTAATGGGTTTGTGGTAATGCAAATTAGTTGATTTGCTTCCTGTGCACAAGATAGAAGCGAGCTTCTTGTAGTTTTTACTTTTTTTTTAATATTTGTACTAGCAAGGTTATTCGGCCACCTGACTCTGTCACTCGGTCACCTGATAGCCGACACCCAATCGGCACCCGAGTGGCCGAACCAGGTGGCTGATTAGCCACCACATGATCCATAAACCCAGATTCCCACTAATGAAGAGTTAAGGACTCCCCCTAATTAGGGATTAAGAGTTAATCATACCAATAAACCGATTAGAGGCGTATTACCTAATCCGGTAATCTTGTTGCAGGGCCCATGGGAATCTGGGCCCATAAATGTCAGTATAAATAGCTCATGTCACGAGGTAACGTCACTGTTCATTAATTACTATCGATACTTGTGCTTTGTCCTGACTTGAGCGTCGGAGTGCCTTTTGCAGGTACCTCCCCCCTCACCGGAATATTCGATCGGAACTCTCGTTCGACCCACAGAATACGAGAAGATTACTAGTGTGCCCTTCAGACAGGTACATTTTGGCGCCCACCGTGGGGCCGAACCGAGAAACTTGAGAAGACAAGCCAAGACAGCTGCAAAAGTTAACTGAATTGAGCTATGGCGAAAACAAGGAGAACCAACACAGAAGATCATCATACTGAAGAGGAGGAACATGTCGAGGTTGTTGATGAAACTGATTTGTCCGAAACAGTTCGTTTGCTGAAACAGGAAATGGCAGCGATGAAGCAACAACGGGAGAAGGATGCGAAGGAACTTTCGGCCTTGAAAGCCGAAAATGAGGCATTAAAAAACCAAGATTCTTCGTGGAAGCCTACTCATCCCACAACCACTCAGACACAAGGGTCTTATCAATCTCATGAGGTCCGCACATCGGTTCCTCACGGCTCGGCCGCGGCACCAGAAAAATCCCCTTCGACCTTGCATACGATCGGACGACCCACCGACGTAGTAACCATCGGCTCACATAGACACCCTTTCACATCATCCATTATGCAATTGCCGTTGCTCGATAATTGGAAATCGTTACCCATTGATAAGTATGACGGTACAACCGACCCTGATGAACATCTTGATGTTTTTCTCACGCAGGTAACCTTGAGCACCACGGATGATGCGGCCTTGTGTCAGATTTTTCCGACATCTCTCAAAGGCAGGGCGTTGAGTTGGTTCACTCGGCTACCTCCTAACTCAATCGACTCGTTCAACACTTTGTCATCACAGTTCACCATCCAGTTCGCAACGAGCCGTCCCCACAGCTTGACCTCACTATCATTGGTAAGCCTTCGACAAGACAAGAAGGAGTCTCTTCGGGCCTTCATGGATCGGTTTAACAAAGCTGCGCTGGAAATCCGAGACCTCAATTCGGCCGTAGCACTCCATCACCTCACAACGACATTGAAGCCGGGGCCATTCGTCAATAGCATTTGCAAAAAACCTCCTTCGGACATGAACGACTTACGAAGGAGAGTTGACAAGTATATGCAAATGGTAGAGTTAGCCGAATACCGCAATCAAGCCCGTGCCGAATCAGTGAGCAAGGCCGAAAAGCCAACGGAACAACCATTCAGAGGGAAAGCCAAAGAAATAACACTGCGAGACCGACCCACTTGTGGGCCGAAATACTCTCACTACACCCCCCTGAATGCTAGCAGGGCAGCGGTGCTAGAGCAAGCCCTCGCAGCTGAAGTGCTAGCGGTCCCGAAGCGAGCTTCTACCCCACCACGTGCCTATACCAGCAAAACTTGCAGGTAGCACCGCAACCGTGGACATTCTACCGAAGAGTGTGCTGCCCTTAAGGATAAAATTGAAGATTTGATCAAGCAGGGACAACTTCATAACTTTGTCAATCGGTCAGGATCATCTCGGCCTCGCTCAACATATCAACCTCGCCACCAGGATCGGCATAGACATGATAATTCTGAGAGGACTCGGCGTGACCGAAGCAGGTCTCGTGATAGGAAGGACGACCCATCGGCTGCGCATAGGAGGGTTATTAATACAATCGCAGGAGGATTCGCCGGAGGAGGTTCAACTTCCTCAGCTCAAAAGAGACACTTGCGTGCTATTCGCTCGGTTCACGTCGTTGATAGGCAGCCCTCCCGAAGACTACCAACCATAATCTTCACTGATGCTGACTTTCAAGGCATTGACCCCGTGCAGGACGATCCAATGGTGATCAGCGTAGAAATTCACAATTTCATAGTCAAGAAAACGTTGGTTGACCAGGGCAGCTCGGCGGATATTTTATACTGGAATACCTTCAAACAGTTAGGTATTTCCGAGACGGAGTTGATCCCTTACGATGACCCCTTGGTTGGATTCTCAGGAGAACGGGTAAGCACCAAGGGATATATTAAGTTATTCACTCGTTTTTGTTTTGACGAACAAGAAAGTAGAGAAATTCAGGTGAAATACATTGTGGTGCATGCCAACACGTCTTATAATATCCTCCTCGGTCGGCCATCATTGAACATGTTGGGGGCAATTGTCTCGACACCGCACTTAGCAATGAAGTTCCCATCCGACAAAGGGAAGATCCTTACAATCCACGCCGATCAGAAAGCTGCTCGGGAATGCTATTTCGCAAGTCTGCGCGTATCTCCCGTCGAAGAACAGCGACAAAAATCCAAACGGGTTCATGCTATAGCTCCTTCGGCATCTGACGCGTTGGTCGATTGGGATCTTGATCCAAGAATGAACAATGAATAACGTGTCAAACCGGTTGACAAGAAAGTCCACTTACAGTTCGGTGCACTTCCCACACAAGTTACATACATCGGCGCAGATATGTCCAAGGAAGACTGTTCAGTCTTAGGCCTTGTGATTAGTCGGAACAAGGACCTATTTGCGTGGACTCCTTCTGACATGCCTGGCATAGACCCGAGTGTTATGTGTCATAAATTGTCAATATGTGCTGAAGCACGACCGGTTGCTCAGCGTAAAAGAAAAATGGGAACCGATCAAAAATTAGCAGTGGAAGCCGAAGTGGCAAAGTTACTTAAGGCTAGATTCATCCGGGATGTTCAATACACTACGTGGTTGGCAAATGTAGTCATGGTTAAAAAACCAAACGACAAATGGAGAATGTGCACTGATTACACTAATCTCAACAAGGCATGCCCGAAAGATGCTTACCCGCTCCCAAATATTGATCGGTTGGTTGACGGTGCATCGGGTCATAAGATCCTCTCCTTCCTGGATGCTTATTCGGGATATAATCAAATCCAAATGCATCCTCATGATGAAGAAAAGACGGCTTTCATCACTGACACGGCTAATTATTGTTATCGTGTGATGCCCTTTGGTTTAAAGAACGCAGGAGCAACTTATCAAAGGTTGATGAATAAGATTTTCCAACACCAGCTCGGCAGGAATATAGAGGTATATGTCGACGATATGGTTGTCAAGTCCGAAGGCATCGCCCGGCACATCGATGACCTCACCGAGGTATTCCAGCAACTCCGCAAATTTGGCATGCTGCTCAATCCATAAAAATGCGTGTTCGGCGTATCTGGTGGAAAGTTTCTTGGTTTCATGCTTACGACGAGGGGCATTGAAGCCAACCCCGACAAGTGTCAGGCAATCATCGATATGAGAAGTCCCCAAAACCTCAAGGAGGTTCAGAAATTGGTCGGACGGCTCACATCTCTTTCAAGATTTTTACCATGTCTCGCAGAGATTGCAAAGCCTATTATCGGTTTGTTAAAGAAGGTCAAGAAGTTTGACTGGAACGTTGATTGTGAAGAGGCCTTCAAGGAGTTGAAACAACGTCTCGGCTCCCCTCCCGTTCTCTCTAAACCCGATCCGCAGGCATCTATGGTGGTGTATTTATGTGTATCAAATGAAGCCATAAGTGCCGTTATAGTGCAGGAAAACGGCGAGCAACGACCTGTGTATTTTATCAGCCGGTCGCTACAAGAAGCCGAAACAAGATACCAGCTTTTGGAGAAGGTGGCGCTGGGGTTGGTGCACGCGGCTCGACGCCTTCGCCAATATTTTTCAGAGTCATCATGTGGTGGTTCGGACTGACTGCCCGATTGCCAAGGTACTGCGCAAGCCAGAGTTGGCCGGCCGAATGATGGCTTGGTCAATTGAGCTCTCGGAGTTTGACATCACCTTTGAAGCACGAGGCCCTATTAAATCCCAATGCTTGGCTGATTTTATGAACGAGTTGCAGCCGAAAGGCCATTTTGTAAGTGACCTGTGGACAATGCATGTAGATGGGTCTTCAAATAACCAAGGTTGTGGAGCAGGAATAATCCTTGAAGGACCATCCGGATTGATACTCGAACAGTCCCTACGATTTGCATTCAAGACCTCCAATAATCAGGCCGAATACGAGGCATTATTGGCAGGGTTGAGGCTCGCCCAAGAAGTTGGTGCTCGGCGAATAGTGTGTTGGACAGATTCAAAAATCGTCTCGGAACAGGTTAATGATCACTTTCAGGTGAAAGACCCCAACTTGTTGAAATATTACCACTTGTTTCGGAATGCACGTAACACCTTTGACGAGGTCCAGGTTAAGCATACCCCTAGGGAACGTAATGAATGCGCCGATCAACTGGCTCGGCTGGCTAGCAGTGGCTGAATAACCCTGCTAGTACACTCAAGTGTACTAGCAGGGTTATTCGGCCACCTGGCTCTGTCACTCGGCCACCTGATAGCCGACACCCAATCGGCACCCGAGTGGCCGAACCAGGTGGCCGATTAGCCACCACATGATCCATAAATCCAGATTCCCACTAATGAAGAGTTAAGGACTCCCCCTAATTAGGGATTAAGAGTTAATCATACCAATAAACTGATTAGAGGCGTATTACCTAATCTGGTAATCCTGTTGCAGGGCCCATGGGAATTCGGGCCCATAAATGTCAGTATAAATAGCTCATGTCACGAGGTAACGTCACTGTTCATTAATTACTACCGATACTTGTGCTTTGTCCTGACTTGAGCGTCAGAGTGCCTTTTGCAGGTATCTCCCCCTTCACTGGAATATTCGATCGGAACTCTCGTTCGGCCCACAGAATACGAGAAGATTACTAGTGTGCCCTTCAGACAGGTACAATATTATTTTAAAATATTTTTAAAAATTAAGAGGTGCATCTTTAAAATTTGATTATCCATAAAATCTCGTTTTAATGAATTTTTATTTTCTAACTGTTATTACATTATTATTCTTTATTTTCTTTAATTGTTTTTTATCTTAGCCTCCAATAAATAGACATTTATTACAGTAAGGTTTTTTTTTTTCTTGTTAGCTCTGTGACTGTCAGCTCATAAACTCAAATGTTGTTGTTGTATATTCGAAACTTGATACGATAGATAAATCCTTTAAAACAATATTTTGTACGTCTCAGTAAATTCATAACAATACTTTGCATACCTCACAAAAAAATTACTACAGTATATCAATATATGCACAAGAAAAATATAAGTTTTACCTTATTCTTTTTGATTATTGAACATAATTTAAGTAATTTTTATTAATAATAAAAAGAGATTCTTTTATTTGATGTTCATTTTCATCTTTTCTATATTTTACTCTTAATAACTATATATAATTTCTAATAATTGTATAAATTATCAAGATAATCATGTTATTTTCTTCCTTTTTTACTGAGTTATATCGTGCCTTTTTTCTTCCTCTAGTCATTATAAATTAATATTTTAAACTATATATAATAACTTACAATTGAATATTCTGGAAACAAATATATAATGGACTCACTGTCACGGGCGTTGGGAAAGTAATATATTGGTCGTCGAGAATCATTACATGTAAATTATAGGTAAATCTTTAATAGATATGAACCCTATATATATAAAGTAATTCAACATAGAAAATCCATTCGGAAAAGGGAACAGACCAAAATCTTCAGACCTCATTTCTTAATTTTGTTCAGTTTGATAAATGTAATATACAAGAAATTAATATGTTGTATGTGAGTAATGAATGATATAGATCTACATGGGCCGAACTTAATTAGTTATGTATTATATAGAATTTGTTGAATCTATATGGTACTGAGAAAGTTCTGATGAGACTGGGTCCAAGGGTTACAAAAATACATTTATTTATTTTTATTCAACTTTTTAAAATGTTATTTTAAGTAATCTCCTTTGAATGCCCATGTATATTAATTGACTTGCAAACATCATCTAGAAACGAGTATTTCATACGGGAATGGATGAAAGAAGAACTTCAATCTCTCCTAGGTAAAGTAAATTTTTTGAGAAGATTTATATCAAACCTGTCTGGTAAAACTAAAGTATTTTCTCCTCTTTTACGTTTAAAAAAGGAGCAAGAATTTTGATGGAATGAAGAGCACCAGAAAGCGTTCGATGAAATCAAAGTTTATTTGGCTCATCCTCCAGTGCTTGCACCACTCTCTAAAGGGAAGCAACTAAAGTTGTACATTTCAGCTAGCGATTCGACTATTGCGGGCATGCTGGCGCAAGATGATGATAATGGCATCGAAAGAGTCATTTATTATTTAAGTCGAATGTTAGTAGGAGCAGAAACTAGATATACCCCTTTAGAGAAATTATGTTTAAGTCTTTATGTTGCTTGTAC